CACCCTACAGCCTAGGTGTATAGGTAGCCATACCATCAAGTATACACTAAGATATCACACAATAACAGAATCACCTAATGACACATTTCTTAAAACGTATCCTTGTTGTTAAGTGATACCTATCTGTACTTGAAACAAAAAGGCTCTGTACTTGTATTCCTCCCCCAGTGAACTCAGGCACAGCTTCTGCTAAAGATAGCCTCTTCACAAAAAGGCTCCATGGGCTGGGCACAGTGGCTCACACCTGTAATCCTAGCACTTTGGGAGGCAGAGGTGGTCGGATCACCAGAGGTCAGGAGTTCGAGACCAGCCTGATCAACATGGTTAAACCCTGTCTGTATTTAAAATACTAAAATTAGCCAGGTGTGTGGTGGGCATCTGTAATCCCAGATACTTGGGAGGTTGAGGCAGGAGAATCACTTGAACCTGAGAAGCAGAGGTTGAGGTGAGCCAAGATCGTGCCACTGTATTCCAGCCTGGGCAACAGGGCAAGAGTCTGTCTTAAATTAAAAAAAAAAAATTCTCCCCAATTTACAATTTGTTGTGCTACCTATCCAGTTTGTAGTTAACCTATTTTGAAATTTGGGTATTGTTTTCTGGCAACTCCCACTAAAAATTCACATCTATTTTTTCCTTAGTGCCTTATTAAAAACTTCTAATTCCACATCCTGTTATACAGTAGTCAGCATTTCCTAATTTATGATAGTGCAATTTGGTGACATTCCAAATATCTTAAGTCTTTGAATATTGTTACAATCATCTTTCTGTGAGTACCATATGGTTAGAACTGGAATTCTTCACTTTCCACTCTCAGATTTTTGCTCTGTATAATTTTTGTATTTTATTATTCATTTTATTTATGATACTGGGTTATCATGCAGAAATGCTTGGAAATCAAGCTGTTATGAATAGTGTGATCCATGCGGGGATTTTCCAGTAGATTTTTGGGTTGGTTGTAAACATACGGCATCAAGAACCCACAAGAAATACAGTTATTTGTTGAGACCTATCAAGAGAACAATTAGCTTTTCTTTTAAAAAGAGCACAATGATTACTAAAAAATGTGAGTCATTATAATCACAGTAGTGGTCTAAACCAAGGGAGAAAAAGGACATATGCAGTCATATGGAAGGTTAACCTCATTCATGCTTTGCAAAATGTTTACTCTATGAAATGTGTTCTGGAACCACACTGCTGCTACACATGATTCCAGTAAACATTATGAATATTAGGATTTCATATGCCAGACTGGCTTCAAAAGTGAGTACAGTAGCCAGAGAACCCACAGGGAATAAAAGAGCACTCTGGTGTCATGTTTCTAGGAGTGCCAAGTTCTCATGGCTTTGGGGGGATGGGAAACAGACTGAGGATCTTGGATTGGAGAAGAGATGTCCTTTGTAATTATACCAACTAGGTGTGTTCTTGGTGGTCCAAATCTGCACTTTTCATATTCTGAAAGACTATAAAATTTATCTATTTTGTTTGTTTATTATCAGCCTCTCTAAAATGTAACTTCCATGAAGGTAGGGGCCTTAATGTTGTTCTCTGTTATATCCTCTGTTCCTGGTACCTAATTTGTAAAAGGGTTCTATAAAGAATGGTGAACTAAGAAGAAAGAGTGAATGTATGGGAAGGCAGGCTTTTGTTTCAGCACAAAGACTTTTCAGCAGGGCGTGTTGTTTCACCCCTGTAATCCCAGTACTTTGGGAGGCTTAGGTGAGCAGATCACAAGGTCAAGAGTTCAAGACAATTCTGGCCAATATGATGAAACACAGTCCCTATTAAAAATACAAAAATTAGCTAGGCATGGTGGTGGGCATCTGTAGTCCCAGCTACTTGGGAGGCTGAGGCAGGAGAATCACTTGAATCCGAGAGGCGGAGGGTATAGTGAGCCGAGATCACACCACTGCACTCCAGCCTGGGCAACAGAGTGACATTCCATCTAAAAAAACGAAGACTTTTCTAACTATGTACACTGAAAATCTGGCTGGTCTTCCCCAGGAAGTGTCCTTCTCCAGAGAGCCAGAAAAAACATAATGATTGTTGGGCTGGGACATCTGATAAGATGACACATCAGAGGTGTTTGGCCACTTGGGTCATTTACAGCTTCTTAGTATCAAAGATGAGCATTTACCAAAGATTTTGGAATGGAGGAAGCCCTGGACAATCATATTGTAGAAAGTTAATAACTTGACAACTAATTGAACTTCGGAAATGGGGGGTAAGGAGTCAGAGATGGCACTGAGACTCTCAGCCCAGGGATATTGGTGCCATTGAGGGGAAAACTGCATTTCAGTAGAAATGCTGATTTGTGTCAAACTTTAGGCAATGATTAGAAATCCCAAGTTTAGTGTATCCGTAGACCACAAAGGAGATATCCACTCCTATGTGGATATCTATGTGGATATCTACGTAGAGATGTCCACACAGGAGTGGATATCTCCTATGTGGTCTACTGACACACTAAACACACTCCTATCCATTACATAGGTAATTACAGTCAGGCAGATGAGAAGCTCAGGGGAGGCTGAGGCATGACATGTCCATTTATTAGAATAATTCTCTCCACAGGACGGTATCTCAGGATAATGCTTAAAAGGTGCCATACGTGAATAGTCTATTTAGCTATAAAATTTCTTATAATTATGTAGAATGCAGGTATCATACCTCCATTTCATAGTTGAGAAAATAGTGGCCCAGAGTGATTTTATTGCTTATAAGTGACGGAACTCTAACTTGAATCCCTGTCTTAAGAGTCTGAGCCTGAAGCTGCTTCTTCAGCGTTCTGCTCCAGTGAGCTATGAGTCACCAAAACGAGGCTCCTCCTTACCTTGGGACTAACTGGCTGCTTATTAGCAGTGAGAGGGTCCACCACTGGTCCTTGAGGCAGCTGTGAACCGCCCCTCCCCATTCTCAATTCCAGTGCCAGTGCTTACCACCTGCTACCAGGGACCCTCACAATAAAACTGCAAGTTAATGAAGGTTATACCCGCCAAACATTCTTGGATAGGGTGGTACAACCCGTTCCCCAATACAAGGCTATCAAAGCAATGTTTTGGTTTTTTTTTTTTTTTTTCCCTCTGTCTCTCTGTCTCTAGTGATGATGTTCACTGTGAGAACAACCAATGGGTAGCTGAGTACAGTGGCTTGGGATCTGGGGCAAAATGAGCTCAACAGGGATACATGAATAAGCTGCTAAAGCCAAGTGGAAATGAGAAATAGAGGGAATTTGGAGAGGCAGATGAAGAAGGCATTAGGGAGTATTGAGAGAACATGGAGTGAATGCTGTTGGACTGTGGCTTCAGGAAAGGGAGCATTTGCCCATCTGCAGCATTACAGCATCCTTTTATGCACACTGGATTTACTCTAGCAAGCAGGAAAGATGCCAGAGACCACAGGAACACTGGTGGTGGGGGTGGGGTGGGGTGGGCAACGAACTAGGAGTGCTTTGGAAAAGTAATTTTCTGTCTCAAATAGCTAACAGTAGCACCGCTATAATTCCAAAGAGTTTTGCAGGAAAGCTTTTATTTGCTACACAAGAAAGGCTGGGCAAGTAGATTCCTAGCTGGTAAGTAGATTCCTAGCACCCACAGAAGGTACAGGCTGGGTCAGTTTTTATTTAAGAGGGCAGTGGTTTGCATTGGCTAGCTAAAGGAGTCTGGATTCAAATAATGTTGTTGCTTTTTTTTTTTGCTTGCAATTTTTGTAATCATAATTCAGAATTACTAGATGTTCCATCAAACCAAAAATCAAAAGCTTTCCTATGGGGAAAGTCTCAATGTTATAGCTGAAAGAGGTGACAGCCGCATTACTGCCATCAAAAATAATTTATTAACCGTGTCTGTGCAAAGTACTCTGGTAGGCACCAAACCCCCAGGGGCTTCCTGTTTCAATGCATCCTCTGCTCTCTGCAGTCTCTTCAGTGTAACGTTTGTTTCTCCACCTGTGAATAAAATGGATACCTTGAAAACTTCATCTTTGTGGAGACTATCACAGGACAAGGGAATGCGGACTCCATCATTCATGCCAATCAGACAGTGCTGGGGAAGTGTATTAGGAAGCCACCTTTCTCAACCTCATATTCTTAAAGCTTGTAAATAAAAACTTCTCCTCTTCGGTTTTCAGTTTAGACCAGGAAATCTGGAGAGAGTTGGCCAGCAAGGTTTTGCACCATCAGCATATATCATGCTAACACTGGCTCTCTGCCCCTTGCCTCGGCAGGTACCACACAGGTGCCTCCCCAGCCAAGAGAAGAAACTGGCAACGGAATTTGGGAGTCCAATCCCAAATCATTTTATATTTACCTCTCACAAACACTTGCCTTGTAACGTGTGTATCTGTGCGTACATTTACGTGTAATGACAATATTTTAAGGCAAATTCACATAAATGGCTTGGAGAGATCTGACAGGTCTGATTGCACAAAGATCGTCTGCTCCATGCATCTCTCAGGAACTCAGGCAAAGGTGGCCCTCCATCCAGCCGCACCGCCATCAGGCAGGGGAGCGCTCGGGCACCCTCCCACCCGCATCCGCCCCCGCCCCCTCGCCCAGCAGCGTCAGTCTCTGACCCCACTGGATCCGTGTAGGAGACGGGCTCACCATCGGTTGGGAAGCTGCTTTTGCCATCCCCGCCCCCGTCAAACGGGGGTTTGCTTGGATCATTTATTTATCTTGTGTGCATTAAGAAACCAGCATTAGGTGCTGGTGGGAGGCGCTACTCTGCCGGAATCTCAGCCGGCCGCGGCGGTTCTGCTCACACACCCGCATCCGCCTGGAGACGCCCTCGGCAAGGGGTCCGCGTCCCCCGGAGCCCCCGAAGCAGTCTCCCGCTTTGGCACCCCACTCTCAACCCAGCAGGGCGCCGGGGCGTGATTTCCGATCCTCTGCTTGCTTGTTGGGTCCCTCGGAGGCGGGTCAGACCGCACCCGCCGCGGGCGCCCGGAGCGCCCCCAGCCCCTGGCTCTTGGCGGCGACAGCGGCGGGGTTCGCTGGAGTTTGACTCTTTTCGGGCGGCGACTGCGGCGGCGGCGCGGAGCGGAGCGGAGCAGCGGACTGCTGGAGCGAGCGAGCGAGCGAGCCAGCCGGGCCGTTAGCCCTCCGCGCTGCGCTGGGATTGGTCTCTCCGGGAGAGCGCTGGCCGAGGGTTGGCTGCGGGCCGGCTGAAGAACAGGTGCACCTCATCGCCGGGGCTCGCGGAGCAGCCGCCGAGGATCGCGGCGCCCAGGCCGGCCCTCTGTGTCGGAATGCGGCTGGCGGGCACCCGGCATCCCGCGGCCGGCCGGCGGGGCTACTGAAGGCGGCGCGAGGCCCAGACGCGGCGCAAGCGGGCGCCCCAGGGAGCCGGCCGGGCGCGGTGCCCCGAGGATGCCGGCGCGGCTGGAGCGCTCGCAGGCGGCGGGCAGCAGCGGCAGCAGCAGCAGCGGGCGCGGGGCCCCGGCGCGCAGGAGGCCTCTTGGCGGGCTGCAGACGCGTCCCGCCGCTCCCTGACCGACCGGCGGCGCCGGGGGCCCGTCTCGCCCCTCTTCCGCTCTCCTCACCGCCCCCTCCCCGGCCCCGTCCCCTCCCCCGCTCCTCTCCACCCCGCCCGCCGCCCGCCTCTCGGGGGGAGGGGCGTGGGGGCAGGGAGCCGATTTGCATGCGGCCGCCGCGGCCGCTGCCTGCGCCCGAGCCCGCCGCCGCCGCCGCCGGAGCCCGCGCCCGCGCCCGGCCCGCGCAGCCCCATGCCTCTGGCGCGGCCCTCGGGGGGGCGAAGGTGAAGACCGGCTCCTAGGATGAGTGAAGGGGCGGCCGCTGCCTCGCCACCTGGTGCCGCTTCGGCAGCCGCCGCCTCGGTTGAGGAGGGCACCGCGGCGGCTGCGGCGGCGGCAGCGGCGGGCGGGGGCCCGGACGGCGGCGGCGAAGGGGCGGCCGAGCCCCCCCGGGAGTTACGCTGTAGCGACTGCATCGTGTGGAACCGGCAGCAGACTTGGCTGTGCGTGGTGCCTCTGTTCATCGGCTTCATCGGCCTGGGGCTCAGCCTCATGCTTCTCAAATGGATCGTGGTGGGCTCCGTCAAGGAGTACGTGCCCACCGACCTGGTGGACTCCAAGGGGATGGGCCAGGACCCCTTCTTCCTCTCCAAGCCCAGCTCTTTCCCCAAGGCCATGGAGACCACCACCACGACCACTTCCACCACGTCCCCCGCCACCCCCTCCGCCGGGGGCGCTGCCTCCTCCAGGACGCCCAACCGGATTAGCACCCGGCTGACCACCATCACTCGGGCGCCCACTCGCTTCCCCGGGCACCGGGTGCCCATCCGGGCCAGCCCGCGCTCTACCACAGCACGGAACACTGCGGCCCCCCCGACGGTCCTATCTACCACGGCCGCGTTCTTCAGTAGCAGTACGCCGGGCTCCCGACCCCCGGTGCCAGGAACTCCAAGCACCCAGGCAATGCCCTCCTGGCCCACTGCGGCATACGCTACCTCCTCCTACCTTCACGATTCTACTCCCTCCTGGACCCTGTCTCCCTTTCAGGATGCTGCCTCGTCTTCTTCCTCCTCTTCCTCGCCCTCTACCACCACGACACCAGAAACTAGCACCAGCCCCAAATTTCGTAAGTAAACAGTGTGTCTCAACTATGATTTACTACTGAGTTTCCTTTCTGCCCTCCTGCTGTCTTTTCCCTTCACCGCCGGCCTTCTAGCAAGCCCCCTCCCCCATCCCAGGTTTGGGGCAGAGTGAGAGCTGGTTGAAACTGTCCACCAGGGGGGAAGAAGGTGCCAGCCTGTTCTGGGTCTGAGGTGGGGGTGGTGGCGTGTAGGAAGGGGAGGGAGATTATCAGGCTCCGCGGGCCCCACTTTAGCGGGTCCCAAATGAGAACACATCTCCTAACTCCCTTCAAAGGGTTAACGCGAGTGCGATCCCTCCTCACTGCAGACCTGCTGGTGAGCTGCGGGATCCCGCTCCAGTAGAGGGCCGGGGAGGAGAGAGGGCCTTCTCGAATGCACCGAGTCCCTTCTCTGCCCGCCGGTAGGAAGGAAAGAAAGCAAAGCACATGCAAATTGAACTACGATAAACCACAAAAGGAAGTTATGTTCATGTGTCGGGTGATGATTTAATGGAGATCTTGGTAGAATGTAGCTGAAGACGCTTCCAGCAGCCCTGACCCAGGCAGGAACCAGAAAGTGTTAATTAGAAGCCATTGGGAGACTTGGGAAAAGGGCTAAACTGATCACCTCCTAGCCTGCCGGTGGCCATTCCAAGGTGTAGACATTGATTCTGTGGCCGCCGAGAGTGAGTTAACTAGGAGGAAATATGAAGGGAGCCCTGCAGAGCTGCCACCTCTAGGGTCCTGACGAAGGAGGAGTTTTTTCAGCCCTGCCAAGCCTTTGCTTTTGTTCCTTTCCCAAAGGTGGGGTGTGAACCTTATCTCCTCTCCCTCTGTGCCTGAAATATACGGGCGAGTTGGGAGTTCTCCACACTCAGGGGTGAGAACATCCAACCGGTTGCAAACATGTCACCATTAGAATGTAGCATCTTCAACCTGGGCTCAGTTGGTGCGAGTATGGGCCACTATACCCAAAGCATCATCGCTTTCTGTTTATTTGTATAGAAAGTGCATATTTTCTCAATATTTCTATAAATGTTTTAGGTGAGTAATTGACCTCCCACCCCCACCCCCCACCTCCTTCTTGTTCAAAGGAAATTTCAGGCATCTTTTAAGCTGATCTGATCAGGATATGAGAACAGTTTGTGCAACCTGTGAAGGTTATTTAGGACAAACCCCAGCCCGCTAGTTCAAGTTCTGTGCAAGGCTATTTTGCAAAAACTGTCTGGTTATGCTGTCTTTATATTGCATTTGTGTTTTGAGCCATAGCATCTGGGGGAAGAAAGAGTGTTCGTCATTAACTCTTCAGTGATGGTGGGAAAATCGGGTTTACTTTCAGTTATCTGCTAATTTTTCATTTCCCTGACCCATGATCTTACCCTGGGTGTTAGTTAACCCTTGAAACTGTTTTCTTTTTAAAACATTTAGTGTATTTGTAAGTAAGGTCCAGGAGAGGGAAAGGGAAAAACAAAACAAAAACAAAAAGCTACTTTGCTTTGGAAAAACAGCCTAGAAGATAAATTGGGAGACAGGAAGGAGAGAAGGAAGGAATCTGCCATAAACCAGAATGGCAGTAGAGCTAGTAACTTGCTGCTTTTCTCCCCTTTGGCTGAAGCAGTCATTTTTGAGAGCACATTTTTCAGGAGGTGTTTAGAGCCTCCACTCAACTAACCTAGCTTGAGTTTTGTAGTAGGATAAAGGATTCATGAGTGTATGTGTGAGCATGTGAGCATATTCAATGGATTGAAAATAAGTCTGTCTTGAAGACCCAAGATTTTTGATCTGCTTTTTTGATGCAGTTGATATGAATAATGGAGTATGGTATACCTCCAACCCTTGGATACATTGGGGGAGGTGGGGGGACTACACATGGTAGGGGTATTTCATGTTCTTGCTCAGTTGATTTCCTTGCGTTCCATTCCGGAGGTCTTTAAAGAAAAGCCCAAGGTAATTATTTCTACCCCTCAATGCTCTCTTCCTACATTCTATGGAAGGGAATGGAAGCCTGCTTAATAAGTAATGATTATTGACAGGCCCTAAGCCCCAAGGAAAAGAGGGGAAAAATCTGTAAATGGTGTCAACGTTCACATAGACATATAAGCAGTATTTGTTTTATTTGTATTTTAAGTCCAGCTCTTTCTCTTTTTTAAACCTTTACAAGAAGTTGAATTAAGATATGTAACACAAGTATGCAAAATCCAGAAGAAATTGACCTGGTTTGTATCTATCAAAAAGGGAAATTTTAATGAAAGGTGGATTATGTAGTTTCCATAATATGAGAATTTAAATAGGGAAGTTGTGTGGTGATTTAAAGAGAGAGGATAGTTTAGTTATTTTTTTCATCCAAGATTGCAGGATGATTAACAAGAGGAAATTAAGATTTCATTTGAGGGATTATCAGCAATTCTACTGTAGGGTGAAAAATGCCTGAATCACTGGTGTTCATATTTTTCACTTGTTTTGATTATGCCACTGAAATTCCCAGGAGAGAATTTTCCTTTTACCCAGCTTCAACCTCCATACTTTAGTGGGTCTTTTCTATCCTTCCTTCCTTCCTTTCTTCTTCTTCTTTTTTAATGGAAGTAATGGATTCTGTTATAGTACTTGAAGTGGTTAAGGATGATGCTCTGTTTTTTTCTGACTAACCCACAAATTCTTTAATGGCCAGGATCTTTGCTCTTGATTTGGATATCGCAAGACTTATGGAATGAATGTCTTTGTGATCATCTTAGATCAATCAGAAGGATCCTGTCTGTAAAAGGCAGCATAGCTCTTTGGAGTGGAAGAGGCTGGTTCACTGACAGTGAACATACTTGCTAATGAATAATAGGATTTTTTTCAAACAAAAAAAAAATCCTATTTTGCTATGGGAAGGCCCAGTTAGAGAACTGTTTCTAATATTCTGTAGGATTAAAGACAAAAAAGGATTGAACTTGAAAGGCAGGAGGGGAAAGGTGGGTTTGCAGGTTGACTCTTCCCATCTTCCACTGTTTAGGCAGTGAGTTGGACCAAAACTTTCTTCAGAGTTACTGGGATTCTTGGGTTTCCAATTGCCTACTACTTGCTTGCACTTCAGACTCTAAAAACAAATATCTTGTTTTTAGATATTTTAGAAACATATTGCCAGAGGAGATTATTCCACGAAAAACATCTTTGAAGCATTTTGTATTTGAAAGTATAGGTTAATTGACAAGTTTATCAGGCCAAAGGGAGGTTACTACAGACAGTAGAGAACAGTGATTTTTGACCAATGTACAATCATCCTTTCCCTTTTACGGCTCTTTGAATTTCAATGTCAGATTTGAAACATAGTTGTACAATATTGCCAATGCAAATGTGGATTGTTTTAGAGACTCAGAATTCTTCAACTAAGCTGATAGCACTGTTTAACAGTTGATATAGCCCAGAGTCATTGGCTAAATTCAAATACTAAAGACAAAGAGCCTCTTTTAAGAGGTTTTTCTTTAGGTCAGATTTGGAAGGTATATAGTTAATTGCAATGAATATCACAAATATTGAATAGTGTATTTATGAAGAAATAAATGTAGAATGTACATTTTATGTTTAAGCAGGGTATGGGGGCAATTTTAATTTAATCAAGTCTTTTTATATAAAACTTTACCTGGTCATACCTACTGTAATTTTTAAGAGAGGCATTGACAAAATCAACTATTTTCTTATTTATTCTTTTCAACATCTATACTCCTTAAATAAGAGTACACTTGGCTGCTTTATAAGCAGCCTCAGATATAATTTGTTTAAATAAAGTTACTCCTGTCTGTTGTATTCTGTCTACGTGAGTCAAGGCCTTTGAAGGCCTCCAGCATAGAAAGTTCTGACCCCAGTCATGCCATGGTAGCCAAAGTGAGAGGATTCAGAGCTCAGGATCAATATTTCTTATGAAATCCAATTGAGAGCTTTTTTTATGAGCACAGGCTGCAACCTGAATATGTTTTGATTTCCTTTGGCCTTAATACAGGATTATGAGACTTTTCTGCTTTAATCAATTATACTGTACAATTTTGCTCTTACACACTTATGTTGCACTTCATGGTCCTAATTAAAAAAAGAGGACAGTGGTGGGTGTATTGGCAAGGATATTTTTAGGGCCCTTTTTAGTTTGGACTCGTTGGTCTCTGTGCATTAAGACAATGCGGTTTAAGCATTCCTCCCCGGTTCTTCAGACTGTAGTGAGGGATAGGCGGTGTTGTTGCTAAATGAGAGTCCCTTCTGCAGGTTTGATTGTGAATTCTGCCACCTTTATATTTGTGCTGTTTCTAAAACCTGACCACTCCTCCTCCACCCCCCTCAAAAAAGCAAGCTGGTTTCTGGCAATTTCTCTCTGTTAATGAAGCTTTTCTAAATTCAGATTGGTCGACAACAGGAGTGTTGGTACAGTTTGAAATCAGTGCCATTCTGGGAGATCCAGGGTTTAGAGGAATACCATCTCTCTTTTTTCTGGTGTTTCTTTCTTGGCCCGTCCTCCCCTTTGTACACAATGAGAAGAAAGCTGATTTTCAACTTGCTTTTGTAGAAATTCTTTCCTCATAACCTCTCATCTCCAATGCCAAACATATCTCAATATTCTATCTGGGATGTCAAAAATGGAACATGAAAGTTGGCCCTGAAATATATAAGAGCAAGGGAGTAGTCATAAATCTAAGTCTTTAAAATGCATTTGAATTGCTTCTGAATAGAACTGAAATTCATTTTTCTTTCTTTCAAGCTGTTTTTATCTTTAGACAAGTGTGTTGGATAAGGACAGAGCTGGTACTGCATTGACAAACACATTTTGAGATCCTAGAAATTTTACTTAACGACCCAAGAAAGTGTTCCCTCCAGAACCATATACATAGTGAAGTGAGGAATGGACTCAATTTGAAACTTTTCAATATCACAATCAAAACTTACCTAAATAGATGTTTCCTATTCATGCAATTATAAGTAAAATTGTGAGACACATGTTTAGTTTGGTTTTCCATATCACTCTTCCCCTGAAGACTTCC